TATACCTTGGATAACTATATACCATGTAATATTTACATAATCTGTGTCACATTGTATGCCTTGCATAACTATATACCATGTAATATTTACATAATCTGTGTCACATTGTATGCCTTGCATAACTATATACCATGTAATATTTACATAATCTGTGTCACATTGTATGCCTTGCATAACTATATACCATGTAATATTTACATAATCTGTGTCACATTGTATGCCTTGCATAACTATATACCATGTAATATTTACATAATCTGTGTCACATTGTATGCCTTGCATAACTATATACCATGTAATATTTACATAATCTGTGTCACATTGTATGCCTTGCATAACTATATACCATGTAATATTTACATAATCTGTGTCACATTGTATGCCTTGCATAACTATATACCATGTAATATTTACATAATCTGTGTCACATTGTATGCCTTGCATAACTATATACCATGTAATATTTACATAATCTGTGTCACATTGTATGCCTTGCATAACTATATACCATGTAATATTTACATAATCTGTGTCACATTGTATGCCTTGCATAACTATATACCATGTAATATTTACATAATCTGTGTCACATTGTATGCCTTGCATAACTATATACCATGTAATATTTACATAATCTGTGTCACATTGTATGCCTTGCATAACTATATACCATGTAATATTTACATAATCTGTGTCACATTGTATGCCTTGCATAACTATATACCATGTAATATTTACATAATCTGTGTCACATTGTATGCCTTGCATAACTATATACCATGTAATATTTACATAATCTGTGTCACATTGTATGCCTTGCATAACTATATACCATGTAATATTTACATAATCTGTGTCACATTGTATGCCTTGCATAACTATATACCATGTAATATTTACATAATCTGTGTCACATTGTATGCCTTGCATAACTATATACCATGTAATATTTACATAATCTGTGTCACATTGTATGCCTTGCATAACTATATACCATGTAATATTTACATAATCTGTGTCACATTGTATGCCTTGCATAACTATATACCATGTAATATTTACATAATCTGTGTCACATTGTATGCCTTGCATAACTATATACCATGTAATATTTACATAATCTGTGTCACATTGTATGCCTTGCATAACTATATACCATGTAATATTTACATAATCTGTGTCACATTGTATGCCTTGCATAACTATATACCATGTAATATTTACATAATCTGTGTCACATTGTATGCCTTGCATAACTATATACCATGTAATATTTACATAATCTGTGTCACATTGTATGCCTTGCATAACTATATACCATGTAATATTTACATAATCTGTGTCACATTGTATGCCTTGCATAACTATATACCATGTAATATTTACATAATCTGTGTCACATTGTATGCCTTGCATAACTATATACCATGTAATATTTACATAATCTGTGTCACATTGTATGCCTTGCATAACTATATACCATGTAATATTTACATAATCTGTGTCACATTGTATGCCTTGCATAACTATATACCATGTAATATTTACATAATCTGTGTCACATTGTATGCCTTGCATAACTATATACCATGTAATATTTACATAATCTGTGTCACATTGTATGCCTTGCATAACTATATACCATGTAATATTTACATAATCTGTGTCACATTGTATGCCTTGCATAACTATATACCATGTAATATTTACATAATCTGTGTCACATTGTATGCCTTGCATAACTATATACCATGTAATATTTACATAATCTGTGTCACATTGTATGCCTTGCATAACTATATACCATGTAATATTTACATAATCTGTGTCACATTGTATGCCTTGCATAACTATATACCATGTAATATTTACATAATCTGTGTCACATTGTATGCCTTGCATAACTATATACCATGTAATATTTACATAATCTGTGTCACATTGTATGCCTTGCATAACTATATACCATGTAATATTTACATAATCTGTGTCACATTGTATGCCTTGCATAACTATATACCATGTAATATTTACATAATCTGTGTCACATTGTATGCCTTGCATAACTATATACCATGTAATATTTACATAATCTGTGTCACATTGTATGCCTTGCATAACTATATACCATGTAATATTTACATAATCTGTGTCACATTGTATGCCTTGCATAACTATATACCATGTAATATTTACATAATCTGTGTCACATTGTATGCCTTGCATAACTATATACCATGTAATATTTACATAATCTGTGTCACATTGTATGCCTTGCATAACTATATACCATGTAATATTTACATAATCTGTGTCACATTGTATGCCTTGCATAACTATATACCATGTAATATTTACATAATCTGTGTCACATTGTATGCCTTGCATAACTATATACCATGTAATATTTACACAATCTGTGTCACATTGTATACCTTGCATAACTATATACCATGTAATATTTACATAATCTGTGTTACGTTGTATACCTTGCATGAACATAAATAAAGAAACAGAACGTTTAACATCACATACCTAGTTTGCCGTGAATATGTCTGAAACAAACAGTGAAGCTTTAACCACCTTGTATACCCATGCACCTTATACATAATATATAAATAAACCGTATGACATCTCAAACCTTGCATATATGTAAAATCACATATTGAGTTAAACTATGTTTATATCTAGAATCACAAACAAAGTACCATACCTTATCGTCATAGCTGTACACTCATTTTACCTGTCACGCACATTAACGGCAATAAATAGCTGTCGTTATCTAGGAAGCTGACTGCTCTCAGGTGTTCTAAGTGGTGACTGTCATCTCAGGTAGTACTCTGGTAGCAAATATAGCCAATCACTCGACACGATTCATCTGGTATCAAATATAGCCAATCACTTGGCGCGATTCTTTTAGCGGTATCACATATCTGTCTAGTCACGAATAGCGACATGTTTGTTTATGGCACCTGATCAAACCGTCAACGATCTTTATAAACATTCATTATTTGTAAGTTTTGTAAGTCAATGGAGTCAGATTTTAAAAATAACGTTTTTTGGTGTTTTTTTAACATAGAAATACACAAATTTGCTAAAACGGTGTTTATAATTTAGTGTACTTCCTAATTAGTTCATAATTGTTAATTAGTAAAATAATATATTTGATCATATGAAAAAGAAAAAATTCAGAACAATTGTGAATTTCCATTTTACAAACAATGTTTTCACAATGACATTGGCCTAAAAATATATCCTGGCAGATGTTTCATTCTCGATATGTTCAGATTCTTTCAAGTTACGTTTAAAATTTGATACTTTCTAAAATTCGATAAAATTTATCAAGGACTTTTCATGTGCCGTTTCATGTTGTTTTTTTTTTTATAGAATACTTATGTTGTTCAAGTATATTTTAAGTTGTTTTATCAATCGTCTTTGCTGACCTGTGGTGTTACTAGTCGGTACGATATCAATTTTGGTCGAGGTTTAGTATATGTAATTGTCATCTTATCTTATATTTCTCAATATTTATAAACGGGATTTATGATATAATATCATTTGACGTTTGATAATGACCGTGATAATTAAAGTAGCTACTTAGTATAATTAACCCGTCCAGCACAACACATACATACATACACATAAATGCACGTCAACGCCCACCTGATCAATTGAATACAACGCGATAACATTCTGTTTGAAACAGCAACGTCTCCTATTGTCACAATCAGTCATATGAATATAAATGTCGTCAATTGACAACACTTTGTTTGAAAATGCAACGTCTCCTATTGTCATAACCACTCATTTGAATATACATGGCGTCCATGTACACTGCCATTATAGTAAATTGATATTTATAAAGAAACGCTATCAAATGCAGTAATGGAAATTCCCATGTGTATTGTACCGTGTGTGCTCTAGGAGTCCACGTAGTCAGCTGAATTAATGATGCTGAAAGGCTTGACAATTATCAGGTTTGTGAACCGTTGTTGCTAGAGAGTGGGACTAAGATACGTAATACATCAACCACTGATGTTATGGGGGGACGTACATACAAAATCTATCAACAATTGATGTTATAGAGAGTGATTAATACAAAGTATATCAACCACTGATGTTATCGGGGGACGTACATACAAAATATATTAACAATTGATGTCATAGAGGGGGATAAATACAAAGTATATCAACCGCTAATGTTATGGGGAACGTACATACAAAATATATCAACGATTGATGTTATAGAGGGTGATTAATACAAAGTATATCAACCACTGATGTTATGGGGGGACGTACATACAAAATATATTAACAATTGATGTTATAGAGAGGGATTAATACAAAGTATATCAACCACTGATGTTATGGGGGACGTACATACAAAATATATTAACAATTGATGTTATAGAGGGGGATACATACAAAGTATATCAACCACTGATGGTATGGGGGGACGTACATACAAAATATATTAACAATTGATGTCATAGAGGGGGATAAATACAAAGTATATCAACCGCTAATGTTATGGGGGACGTACATACAAAATATATTAACAATTGATGTCATAGAGGGGGATAAATACAAAGTATATCAACCGCTAATGTTATGGGGAACGTACATACAAAATATATCAACAATTGATGTTATAGAGGGTGATTTATACAAAGTATATCAACCACTGATGTCATGGGGGGACGTACATACAAAATATATTAACAATTGATGTTATAGAGGGGGATAAATACAAAGTATATCAACCGCTAATGTTATGGGGGACGTACATACAAAATATATTAACAATTGATGTTATAGAGGGTGATTAATACAAAGTATATCAACCACTGATGTTATGGGGAAGTTATATACAAGATATATCAACGACTGATATTACGGGGAATTTATATAAAAAATATCAATACAATGTATGTCAACCATCATTGATGTAATGGGCGAACTTATATACAAGATATGTCAACCATTGATGTTAAGGGAAAATGATATTCAAGGTATGTCAACCATTGATGTTATGGGAAACTTATATATACGATATGACAACCATAAATGGTATGGGGAACTTATATATACGATATGACAACCATTTATGGTATGGAAAATGTATATACAAGGTATGTCAACCATTGATGTTATGGGGAACTTATATATACGATATGTCAACCATTAATGGTATGGGAAACTTATATATACGATATGACAACCATTAATGTTATGGGGAATTTAGGTATAGGGAACTTACATATACGATATGACAACCATTAATGGTATGGGGAACTTATATATGCAAAGTATGTCAACCAGTGATGTTATCAACGGGACTATGTAGTCATGACACATTAAATGTGAAAAAAAGTTAACGGCTTGCTTTGTTCGCCATGCCAGCCCTCCTAACCTTGACCCCTCCCCTCACCCAGGAACCACTCCCCATCCCCAGTCCCTGCTTCAAGAGGAACACATCTGTGAATATGTTCTTACACCGCTGCCTTGGTAACATGTATTCCCTCGCCTCATCTGATGTGTACGTCATACGATGTAAATATGAACGTTCGTATAACACCGTGCCAGTTGAAAATCAATATTTTTCTCACCTATGGCTTTGTTGCACGCGAAACATGAAACGAGGTCGTCAAATCCTACATCGAGTATCATTTCTGATAATCGCACTTTCCGGAAACTGTTGTCATGTAATGCTGGCGTGAGTCGTTATCTATACAGTGAACCAACGTTTATATTCTGTTTTAAACCATGGATTCATTTAAACGTTTATTAAACAAGGTTCCTACATCTTTCAATCTTTCAATCTTACAATCTTTTGATATATCATGCAATAGTTTATTTAATGTATAGAGAATCGTTTGACATTGAAATGTGTTTTACCTGATTTTCAACAGCATGATACATGCATCTGTTGCACTGAGATTTATCTCCATACTGGCAAAAGACCAGACAGTCGGTATCGCTGTTTATGTGTAAATCGACTGACAATGCAAGAGGATAGTAAACGTATTTGTCATTCCACATAAACTATACAAATGAGGTGATGATACTTATAAATTAGAACAAAATTATTCAGGGAACAAATTAATGTCCTGGGAAGCAGACTTGTTAGGCTTCATGCCAACAAGAGCATGGTAGGCGGCTTACCTGGGTTACATTTAGATCAAGGTAATTTCGTTCTGTGAACTTTGTAAAAACTATTATCGCTCCATGACTTTAATTCTTCTGCAGAAGCTTATAAGCGTTGCAGCAAATTGAAGACCCCTGACCTTTAATGTGAAATTAGGTCACAGTCATTTTTAGCAAACTCTGTAGCAGATAATACCAGATAGCTACGGACTTCATAAAATAAATCCAAGACTTTTGGTTCATTAGAAGAAGTTATCTGAAGGTCTGATCCCTGTGACCATGAACATGTAAATCAAGGTAATATTTTTTCGCAAACTTGTTCAAAGACGTTGCTAGTAAAATATCAAGAGCCAACACGTTATTGTACTTATGAAAAATGGTTGTTTTACATAAAAATGTTAATGGATTTACTGAACTATATTTCTATAACCGTTTGTCAGATATTAATAGACACTGGTATATGGAATAGTCTTGACCAACACTAAACGGTCATTCAAACCTACACATTGGAACACTGACATTTAAGTATAAAAGATGCAAAAACCAGGTGGAAGTAGAAACAGGTCATTGTATCATAGCCGTTACAATTGATGTCTCTTTTGGTCTTTTCAATAGCCTCTAATCAGAATGACGCATAATGACGAGTACTATTCCTCTTGGGCTGTACAATAGTTGCCTCACGTGATCATGCACAGGTCACACGGGTGAATTAAATCGTAGAAATGTGAATGTAGTATATGTATATATATATATATATACATACAAATGGGTCAAAGAAGTAATATAGACGGTAAAATCCCACATAATGGAGGTATGTCCGTAGGATACGAATTATTTAAAATAGTATATCCGGCAAAGAAGTATATGTACATGTAACTGTTCTGTTTCACTGTGTCGTGATAAAGGAGCGAATCGCTCCGAAAATTTGACAACCTCAACCTGTCCACACTGTTGGAATTACTTCTTTGCCCCATATATATATATTGTATAAAGAAAAATTCTTAACAACGAGTCTTTAGTACTTTGATCTCTTCTAGGAGATTCTTCAGAATTCTTTGAACAAGTTTGCGAAAAAATATTACCTTGATTTACATGTTCATGGTCACAGGGATCAGAGTCTGAAGAATCTCCTAGAAGAGATGAAATTACTAAAGACTCGTTGTTAAGAATTTTTCTTTAAACAATATTTATTCGTCCGTAAGGATCATTTTTCTGATTTATAATATATATACATATATATAGTAAACGCACCGTAGTACATGAAAGGAGTCAAATGTCATGCTCAGTGTCGAATGCATGTTAAGAAGAATGAAGGCCACAATGGTATGGAATTGTCCTGATAAGAATGAAGTTATCGGAGGTGTCAGTGTTTCTGATTAAACGGGTCAGGGCTAGAGACGTGACACTAGATAGGTTTAGACATCTCCACTTCCAGTGTGCACATAACTCTTCATAATGACTACATACCTACTATACGGTGTTATTGGTAAGTTGATTAGTTATGAGACACCTAGATTTTATTGTATTGGTGCTATTTTTAAATGCATTATGAAAAATAACTTATTTAAAAAAATAAAATTAAAAAAAAAACAGAAAAAAATCACCAGCAATCAAATTAGTTATAAACAACCAAATTTAAGATGTTCCTCAGAAATGCCATCATATTAACGGTTTCATTAGAATATTATCGTTCTCTTACATTTATTGCCCTTACAAAAGGGAAATTCGACTCTTTATTTTCCCACGAAGCCAGAGTAAAACATAAGTCATAAGACCAATCAATATTTTATTATACCGGAATAGCACAATAACACATCAGGGAAGATGATTAGCGGTCGGGGCTGTTGTTGTCGTCTGCTTCAGTCAATCGGAGCTCAGGTGTTGTTGTTCTCGCGCAGAGTTCTAGAGAGGCTCCGACTATGTGAAATATGACCGGGGGAACTTGAGCACGTGAGAGGGACACGAATTTTTTGTCCGCCATGCGATCAATTTAATCCAATCAGACACGCTATTATGTAGATAAGGTATAATAATGTTTTGGTAGTTCTCAGATGCATTATTCTAATAAGAATTTTGAAAGCTATATCTGGTTAATGAATTGTACCATGGTTCTCAAAAAATGAACAGATTTTTTTCCCCAATTGCTTGTCTCGATAGTCATTGTTGGTGTAGTATATTTTGACATGTGTCGTGTTGTGCCTTTACGATATCTAATAATAAAACAAGTGTTCAGTTTTAAAAATATCACTCTTATTGTTAGATAAATAGCATACTTTTTTAATAAATTCGTAATGTATCTATAGTAATCAATATTGACTTATTGACTTAACATTGTTATAATTGATTACAGTTTTTTATATAGACTAAATATGGGTTTTTTAAATTGATTATAATATTAGGTATTGACAGTTTGACATTTTAATCTTGGTTAGATGTATAATTGGAATAATTAAAGTTCACTTTAATAATACATGACCAATTCAAATTAATTAGTTATTTAGTTCATTTGTATTGATGAGTGATGAATTTGTACAAAAAAGATGCATGTGTAACCGGATGCTGGATACTAAACATTTAAGTTTTAAAAACCTGACATGACGGTCAGCAGAAAATACCTATTAAAACCTGACATGTGAAAGAAAATTATCTTTTTTCATTTCATAAATTTTAACTTCCATTAGATTAATTTAACTTGTATTAGTTAGTGTTATGTTTCTTTGACAATAATTAACTTGAATTTATGTTTATAATATTTAACATTAATTTAAAGGATTACTGCTGCAGGTTTCGGCTATAGTAAGCCAGACAAACGGTGAGTTTATTATCTCTTTCATGAAACGTACGCATATATTTTTTCATCAAAAGTGACGGATTTATATACAGTCGTATTTGAAAAAGATATACTACTGAAACGAAATGATTCCTTAAAAAAGATTTATATCAAAATTATAGATATATCTATCAAAATTCTCGCAACTAATTTCACCCTGACAGATATAACGTTGTGTTGCAATAGTTTTAACATCAGCAACTGGTTTCCCCGTTGTCAGTGTAATGTGACCGGGTGGACTACTGTGCCTTCGGCATGGTCATACAGTGAGGTAACACTCCAAAGTCGACATCAGATGTCTAATGTAGAATCATACAGCATCGTTCAGTCATCCACAACGTTACGATGATAAGGTCACATTTATTAGATGTCATGATCATAATACCAACATTTTGTTGTCGAAACTGTAAACAGATGTTGGTCAAGTTCAAGTGGGACATCAACACCCACCTCTCCACGTCTGCATTTTAGAATCTTTGCAAATATGTCATTTTAATACCACTCTTTTATTTGTTCAAGTATGTGCACATTGCTTGCTTAAATGTATAAAAGTGATTGTAAGCCTTTGTTTTTTGTTTTCACAATTATAACAATTACTATTATTCCTATGTTGTAAAGCGCTTTAGAGTAATTTTACAAATTATATAGGGCGCTATATCAATGTTGTATATTATTATTATTATTATTATTATTATTATTATTATTTACAGAACGAGACCAATTTCAATACATGCACCATCTTATTTCAATAGGACCGCAATGCTATAACTGCCGAGATGTATCTCATCCACGGGATTGTTTCAAGGTTACAAGGTGCGGAACACATGAGGTATACAATACGCTAGGTTTATACTTTCTGAACGGGATAAGTCGCGAAACATCTCATAGCATTCTACCATTTGTACCATTTATTGTTCAATATTAGTTTTACCATATAAATCTATGTCTCAAAAAGTTTACTTTAACAGTGATTTAATACTGTATCACCCATAGATTTTACTTTGCTTTTCTGCATGTTGGATACTTTAATGCGTTTTTATGTGCTGATAATGTCATTTTATCGATTTCAACGGATTTGTTTTATTTTAACTTTTTAACTGATTTGTCAAATCATATTTTCTGAAAGCATTGTAGATTCCTCTAATGCAGTATTGTAAAATAAATAAACAAACAAAGGTATTTTCGCATATTTCTGTATTGCAAACCATCGCTGCTTCAGAGATAAATATGCATTTACAAAAAGTATCCATTTCAGGGGAAGTATCGAGTTTTAGATGTTGTTAAATCACATGTATAAAATAGTTTGTTTTATCTTGTAGCTGTTTTCTGTAGACATCTTCTCTCTTGAAACATCACCAAACACTTTATATAGGCAAAATGTCATTAGATACTAGCGGTGGCAAAGGAGGTTAAGCTGTATAAGATAGCGCATGTATATACATGGCTTGTTTTATGTCGTGGCTATTTTCTGTAGACATACCTCTCCTTCGTTACATCATCAAACTCTTTATAGTGGCAAAATGTCTTTTAAAACTGGTGGATTTAAGTACATAGATATAAATTGTTTGTTTTATGTTGTAGGTGTGTTCAGTAGACAGGTACACCAGTGATGATGGCGTCATTACCTACGACTCAGGCTGTAAATCAAAGGCGGTAAGTATGACGTCATATCAAACCACGCCGACCGCTGTCTGCTTCAATAGGGTCGAGGATGTGTCGAACTGGTAACATAATGCAAAGGGCAATAACTCTGTAAATTCTTTCGGGTTTTTTGTCTATGATACGGACACAAAACTCATTCTTAAAGTCATAGCAAATGTCGTAGAAATTGGGTGGAAACTGGGGGACTCTTTAACAGATGATGTATTTTTTCAGTTTTGTGGTGGATTCCATTCTAAGCGTGAACAACTTTCTAGGTCAACCACACGTTTTCCTCAGTACGCGTGGGACGCCCAGGTATATCCCATATGTAGCAGATGTTGTGACACGGATTTCTGTAACCTAAACCTGTGTGATCCGTCAGTAGATCACACCAGTAGTAAGTATGATCTAACCAATACAGTTATCTTTTATGTAATATTTTCATTTTGGATTTCATCTCATTTTGGCGTGTATTTTATTTCGCCAAAACGCCTGTAGGTTTCATTCGAAAACACCTGCATTCGCGATTCAGAAGATGTTATTTCAAAATTAATGGTTATTGTATATAGAACTATTAAAATTCGAAAATAAACATGAAAAACGATATTTCTAAACAATATGGTGATTTACGGTAGAGTACTATCAGTATTTGTCAATCGGGGTATTGACATTATAACATGGAATGGCAATATACTGCGAAATAGATATAAGACGTATTATTAAGACAGAAAAAAAAGTAGACCTTGAGCTATGATGGCAGTATATAAGCGATTAGCAAAGGACTTGGGGCGTTATAGGTCATTTTTTTTTTAACTAAATTCTCTTAAAAACATCATATTGGTTAATTGAAGCTATCATTATTGGTGTATATGTTTTCCAATGCGCATGCGTAGATGGCCTACCATAACAATAAACTGTTTAGTTAATTTCCTTCAAAATGGCCAATGTTCAACCAAATGACGCACAAAAGACGACATTCGCGCATTTTATTATGAAAATACGGGTTTATGTCTCTCTTTGTAATGCCATTTCTCGTAAACCAGGTGTCGAATGAATTTGAGATTTACTCGAGATTACGAATACACTAACTAATTCTAACTCCCCTATGAGGCCGGAAATGACCCTTAACGCCCCCAGTCCTTTTCAAAATATACAATGGCATTATAGCTACTATTCTACTTCGATTCACAGTTTTTTGTTTATCTATTTTACAAAATCGCTCGAATGTTCCAAACAGAAGGGTATTAACTATTCCTTTTATTTACATTAATAACATTAATTATTTCGTTCATTTGGTTTCATATTGAACAACAAGGATCGACTAATATAGCATCAAAGCTAAATCGTACATGCATGTTCATATTAAGATCAGATTGCACCGCTTAAATCGTTGCCAAGGAGAAACACAATACATGTCAGATATGTTCCATATTGACTGGGACGAAGATAGAAAAAAAGATGTCCAAAGAATTGCAATATCACTTTTTACATGAATGTCGTCTAATAATAAACACTGAAAAATTCCTATATTCTGCGTAGGGAGCCACATTAGTCGTCTCTTATGATATCCATGCACGAACCTACATGAAGTAGAATATACAATTCCTTTTTAAGTTAATATAACAAAACAATTATTTCCATTGCCATGGTAACACTAGTGTTCTTTCTACAGAGGATCTGAAGCGGTGTCTACACTGTACAGGCGTGGATGATCCCAGCAACTGTGAGACTCTGACAACATGTAGTACGGACGAGGTAATGTCCCTTCACCATTAACAGTAAACAGGAAGGTGTTGACATTACGTTATGATGACAGAGATGTAAGGTGTAAATATAGAGATTATCCAACCAGTGATGGTTGGTTACCATGTTTATCTAACTCGGGTAGGTCAATTTTCAAATTATATAAAGACAGGGGGTTTACCAAGTGTTTTTTTACAATTTTCAAATATCATATTTAGAAAGCCATATGTTTCCCACAGGGATGCATTGTTCCTATTTCCGATCGGGGAAGTAATCGCCATGAACTATAACGACACAATCGATGATGACGTCGCAAAACATTGTCACGTGACGTCATCAATTAGAGGATTGAAATAATGTACAGTGTGTTATTACCTACTAGTAACAAAATAGGTGTACCAACTACTATCAGGTGAATCCAGCGAGTCGAAAGTATGGAAACATATAGTGGTTGCTGGAGAAAGCGATTTTTAACAATCACGTACTTATACATGTGTGTGTATTATTAATAAAAATGACGACTTTACATTCCAGTCGTGTTACACACAAAAACAACTAAATGTGAATGGAGAGATCCGTTACAGCCTTGGGTGTCGACACCAGTCCGTAAGTATGAGCCAAATATTCTATAATCACCACTTATTAATAGAGTTCACGTAAAGGTCAGCACGGTATACTCATTAGACACTCAAAACCGTAGAAAACATGTAGACCCGTACCGTATCTCACTCTTCTGTAGGTCCGGGAAAGATAAAGCCGTCTCTATCCCACTATATGTCGCACAATGCGACTTATATGGGGACCCCCTGCAGAGTCTAACGCTTGCTTCTGTGTCTCTGCTAAGGGGACATTGGTGGACTCATACTTGAACTGCTATCCCGTTTGCAATATTTGAGATATTTAGATTTCTTTTTTTCGTTAATTGCTTTTGATTCCTTGTTCCTTCTTGGAAATACCTCACTTTTTTGTCGTAGTCTTGAGCGTTGGGTAGGAAACTGGTTCTGTTCGCAAGCACCGCCCAACCAAACCAAATCGTATCCCCATTAATACATGGAAATACAACAAACAATATCTACCTGTACCGTATACTCAATAAAACTCAACCAAATTATCTCATATGATTTACTATATGCATGTACTAGGACACATCACTAAAATAAACACACAATACATATGTAAATGGTTATACTGTATACCCAATAATCACCGCAAAAATAAACACATGAGATTTTGATAAACAAAATATAACCGCAGGATGTACATGGATGCCTGTACCCTATTAACATCATTACAATTTTCCTAGAGATGAAAGAGCGGTATTGTTACTATAAATTTTATTCATTTTGTACAAAAAACAAATGTGAAGGTTCAGTGTATATAATTACAGTTGTTTGTTTGTTAGGGCCCCGAATCGGAGATACGGGTGCCCTATAGTAATTACTCTGTCTGTCTGTCTGTCTGTCCGTACACAAATTTTGTTCCTGGCTGATAACTTTGGTATTTATTGATCGATGTACATGAAACTTGGTCAAGATGTTCAGTTTACAAAAATACACATTGAGGTAAAAAGTCAAGGTCAAAGGTCGAGGTTAAATTTTACATCTGTTCACTGATGAACATTTTGTTATGACATAATGAAGCAAAGTTGATCAGAATTAAACAAGGAGTCAACTGACCAAAGGTCAAGGTCATCGGGTCAGGGGTCAAGGTCAAATTTTGTAGCTTTTCACTGGTGAACAATTCGCTATGACATTATGGAGCAAAGTAGCTCAGAATTAAACAAAGTGACACACTGATGTAAAAGTTGAAGTCAAAGGTCAAGGTCATTAGATTCATAGGTCAGGGTCAAATTTTGCATCTTTTCACTGATGATCATTTTGTTATGACATGATAAGGCAAAGTTGATCAGAGGAGTCAACTTACCAAAGGTCAAGGTCATTGGGTAAAAGGTCAAGGTTAAATTTTGTATTTTTTCACTGGTGAACATTTCGCTATGACACTTTGAAGCAATGTAGCTCAGAATTAATCAAGGAGTCAATTGACCAAAGGTCAAGGTCACTGTGTCAAAGGTGAAGGTTAAATTTTGTACCATTTCCCTGATGAACATTTTGATGACATTATGAAGCAATGTTGTTCAGAACTTAACACAGAGACAACTGACCTTAGGTCCAGGTTACGGGGTCCAAAGGGTCAAGGTCAAGTTTTGTATTTTTCACTGATGAACATTTTGTTATGATATTAAGAAGCAAAGTTGGTCGGAATTAAAGAATAAGTCAACTGACAAAAGATCAGGGTCACTGGGTTAATGGTCAAGGTCATTTGGGTCCAAAGGTCAAAGACAAAGTGGATCTCTGACTTTGACCATGGCTCATGATTGAGGAGGTATATAAGGTGAAATAAAACAAATCAAAGCTAACAAATGAGTATTGCACCGGTATTTACATTTCTGTTAGCCCAGCAAATATGGAGGTGGAAGGAAACAAGACTCACATCATAGTACATGTAAAATGTATATTTTGCTTCCTTGCGATTCTTTTTGAAGTCCAAATATCAAACGTCAAGCTCAACTATATGGGCAGATTGCTTCTTGATGATTATGGGGGATATATTGCGACACGACGGGGCCCTTACTGACCGGTCAGTGTTCTAGTTTTGTTTGTTTGTTTGTTTTTTTGTTTGGGGTTTTATGTCCTCGCAACAGCCATATACCTGGCGGTGTCTACAGGTGCCTATAGGCGACCCCGCCTGATACAGAAAGTAGATAGAAAAAAAAGAAGCCAGGAAAGATAGGAAACAGAAAAGATCCCAAGAGTTGCAACGGGGGCAGCAGATCAATGTTGGTCCCTTCCATGTTTTCGAGGAAGACACAAAAGAAAACTCCGATTCTGCAGGGCCCCACATTAGTCGCCTTTTACGATACACGCAGTGGAACACAGCAGGTCTATTCTTGATTTCTTCAATGTCCTCTTAATAAAAGACATGGAAGAAACCATCTCCGATTCTGCAGGGGGTAGAGTTGTTCGATGTTTGAATATTCACAGGAACGAAATTCATCTAAATATAAAATAATGAAAAAGAAATCCAAGCGCAACTCTGGACATATCCACTGCCGACTTTACACTTAGTAATACCTGTACCATTGGACTGTGCTATAGACGGTAAGGTAACCTCCCCTTAAACTTCTGTTTGAATGTAATTGTAGCACAGTTTGACCAGAACACTTCCGTTGATAAAGTAGCTCTATTGGTTAGAGCGATAGCATAACAATCTGAAGTCCGGGGTTCGATTCTCGGTCTAGTCCTTACTGATTTTGCCCCTCGTAACACTGCTGTTAATGATATTTTGTTTATTTCATCTTTATCTTTATCATAAAAGCCCCACAATGTATGGTTATCTATTCAGAAATGATTTATAAACGCTACAGTAATGTCGGAATATCAAGTTTCCAACACGTCGTTACAGCTCTGTCAGTGGTACGGAGATCCTAACCATATATTTCTTATCAGTGATACGGTACTGTCCACTTTATGTAGTCCTTGTATGGACAATGATGGTTTTTACTATTGTAAAGTACATGTACTGAGATGTGTGCAAAGGATTTTATAATACATCTTATTTACAAAGAAAGTGTAATTACCAGGTTTTTGTCAACTGTATTGGTCTTTACATTTATTTCTTTTTACCGTTAATCAGGTGTGTGATATAGCTGCCACTTCCAGTATGCTGGTCGGTAGAAATGTGGGAGGGAGTGCCTTCTGTCTCCAGTGTTGTAATACCACCAACTGTAACGGCCAACTTTGTCACCAGGGTAAGACACTGTCTGTCTTTAGTGCTGTAATACCACCAACTGTAATGGCCAACTTTGTCACGAGGGTAAGACACTCTCTGTCTCCAGTGTTGTAATACCACCAACTGTAACGGCCAATTTTGTCACGAGGGTAAGACACTGTCTTTATTTAGTGCTGTAATACCACCAACTGTAACGGCCAACTTTGTCACGAGGGTAAGACATTGTCTTTCTTTAGTGCTGTAATACCACCAACTGTAACGGCCAACTCTGTCACGAGGGTAAGATACTGTCTATCTCCAGTGTGGTAATACCACCAGCTGTAACGGCCAACTTTGTCACGAGGGTGAGACACTGTCTGTCTTTAGTGCTGTAATACCACCAACTGTAACGGCCAACTTTGTCACGAGGGTAAGACACTGTCTGTATTTAGTGCTGTTATACCACCAACTGTAACGGCCAACTTTGTCACCAGGGTAAGGGAATCTGTCTGTCTCGTGTGTTGTTACAAATCCAACTTTTAAGCAAACCTTGTCAATGTGACATTTTGTCGTTTATCTTTATGCTTACCCTTCAGGAACATCTGGTCTTATTGTCCTTGTAGTTTTTGAGGGGTTTTATGTAAATCTTTCCTTCTTTCGTATTGCTGATCATGTAGATTTTTAGGTCTGGACATTTGTATCTGTTTTATCGTTGTTTTACTACATGTATTTCAGATGTTTTGGCTGTAGATTTCTGTACATGTCCTTCTTTTTCTTTTGTTATTTATAGAAGTTAACCTACAAAAATGATCTACTTAATTTTGTTAAGCCTTATTGAGCAGAAATAAACTCACATGTTGTAGTTTGATTATTAACAGATCGGGAAGTGACGACAGTACCGACTACTACCCCGGCCCCCGACACGTGCACAGAGGGACCCCAGTGTGCCTACCTCACCAGTACATTTAACCTATGCGAGGACCCAACGTCGGCTAGACAAATCTGTCCGGTGTCTTGTGAGGTGTGTACACCGCCGACGTCTGCTCCCACCCCGTTGTGTGAGGACAGCCCGGAGTGTGATGTGTTGTCTATACATTTCGCCAGTTCTATGTGTAACGAGGAACACACACGCACGGTCATATGTCCACAGACGTGTCACTCATGTGGCCAGTCAGTAGTTACCACTACAACTCCAACTACCACTACAACTCCAACTCCAACTACAACTCCAACTACGACTCCAACGACAACTCCCACTACAACTCCAACTACAACTACGACTCCAACGACAACTCCCACTTCCACTACAACTACCATCCAGACAACTGCAATCGACTTGGAGTGTATAGATAGCCCAACGTGTGCACACCTGCTGACATTCCTGGACATATGCGGTGATCCACAATCTGCCAAGGATGTTTGTCCATCTTCCTGTAAGAAATGTTTCTCTGGCACTCCCTCTACTGTCGCAGTTGTCACACAACCCGCTGTCAAACCAACACTTCGGGCGCCAGTGATATGCAAGGATGATCCAGACTGTGAAGTTTTACAGGAAAATTTAAACATCTGCGTTTCGGATGTTTCAGCAACTGTTCTGGTCTGTCCTGTGTTGTGTGGGTTATGTGAAATAGCCGGGGACGGTCATAACCATTGGTTACAATTTTCACAAACGAATAAAACCATTAAATCATCGGAAGCAAAGGCAACTGAACAACCACACATTCCAACTTCGCCTCAACTACAAAAAGATATACTGTCACAAACAAATGCTACGCATGCGTGTCTTGACGAGGATGACACGTGTCCAAAACTTAAAGAAGCGTTCCATCTGTGTGGGGACGAGCAAATGGTGGAACAGTTTGGCTGTTACAATACCTGTAACAGATGTGGTGAGTATACTGTTCTTCTATTATCATTTACCTGCTGGTTTGGAGGGTGTAACTTGTCAGTAGTATCACTGTATCTAATTACATGATATTTAGAGGCGAGTTTTGCTGAATCTTTTCGACATCTAAGGTCTCCGGTATTATTTGGCAAGGCGTGTTGATTCTGTGGTATATCTTTATTAATCATATACTTGCTTATAATATCACTCATACTACATATATTGCTAAATGCTGCATTACACAGATATGTGTTGTGTTGTCGTTGTAGTTGGACATTACGAATGTTCAGGGCGTTATATATTGTTGTCGGTACTGATGCGTCCACAAACAGTATTCCTCTGGTCCTTATATACAACCAAGTATATCATATAATATAAGCTGTCTAGTCGTAAATGATATCAAACAGCTTCCTTTACATGCACCCCTCCTGAAATGAGCTCTATGGAATGTCATTGGAAATACATTTGAGATTTATTTCTACATGCCTCGTCAAAACTTTGATAAGAAAAGACGCTGTCAGTATCAATATATCTCAAATTTCCTTTGCCATAAATCCGTGACAGTATTGATCGTGTGGTTAGATATCTTAACTGATCTTACGGTGTTGTTTAAATGCACGACCTTTAAAATTGTACTTTATTTAAGCGAACTAGAATAAAAACACAACGCTAAATGTTATCAGGCCTATGCGCCATTCTGTCGTCTTCTTCAGTTACTAGGAAATCACAACTAATACCACGGACCTAGATACAAAGGTAACCCTAATTCCGTGCTGATTCCCCTTGTTCTGTTTTTCTAGAGAGATCCAGCATTAGGGAAATTAGGTATCGAGCACAAAAGAGAAATACGACGATTAGACTCTCCGTCATGTGATCGAGTATATCCAATCAGGCCGTTATATAGATGAGTTATTCACAAAACTTGTACTTTCTTTGTTATTACAGATCTGGTACATATATCTACGACGCCCAGTAATAAACAGATGATCAACGAGCAGCTCGGTAGTAACCATGGCAGCGAAACAATACCGGTACCAACAAAGACGACAACGAAGACAACGCAATTGTCGACGACGATAAACGCGACTGTACCAACAACCTCTATTACCATACAAGACACGACGACCCAACGAACAGCACATCACCATAATCATGCGCCAAAGACGACAACTCATCGAACGCCACATCACCATCACACGCAAGCGCCAAAGATGACGACCCAGCCAACAACGCGCCATCATCACACGCATGCGCAAAAGACGACGACCCAGCCAACAATACACCACAGCAATCACAATGGCCACCACTCTCACACGCAATGCGTTGACATATCTCAAAGTTGTTATTCTTCTAATTTTTTGATAAGAATTCACATTTGCTTATACTCTGGACACCTGTGCAAAAAGACATGTAATGCATGCTAAAATGTACAATGTAATATATATTTTTTTTCAAATCGGACGAAAGCCTCATCAGTTCATAATTTTTAAATTATCATCATAATTAAACTATTTGCACGTGGATGACTATCGTGACACAAAGATATCTAAGAAATTTGTCTGAAAAGTATTTTAGTTTGTCAGGTTTGAACAACAAAACTGTGTTATTATTTATGATGCAATAATGTTTCCGTTGTAATATAATAAATTCGTGGACTCGTGTGTTGTTGTGTCAGTGAATGTATTTCTAGTGATTATTTTACAAAAGAGAGTGGTTGATTTTGCTGATGGAATACCAGTCCCGAGATTGACAGTAACATTATACTTGATATATTCTGAAAGGTTTACATAAAATACTGAATTAAAAGAAAAAATATTTTTTTACAGTCAATAATTGTAAATAACTTTATCAATATTAGACACATTTCCCCGTTTGTTGTATTTCCACATATGCATCACATACCTTTGATATGAAGTAATTTGAGAACCGCTTTGAGACGGCCTACAAACTAAGTTGTGATAAAGCGGTATATAAGAACCGTTTTGAGACGGCCTTCAAACTAAGTTGTGATAAAGCGGTATATAAGAACCGCTTTGAGACGACCTACAAGCTTGGTTATGATAAAGCGGTATATAAGAACCGCTTTGAGACGGCCTACAAACTAAGTTGTGATAAAGCGGTATATAAGAACCGCTTTGAGACGACCTATAAACTTGGTTGTGATAAAGCGGTATATAAGAACCGCTTTGAGACGGCCTACAAACTAAGTTGTGATAAAGAGGTATATAAGAACCGCTTTGAGACCACCTACAAACTTGGTTGTGATAAAGCGGTATATAAGAACCGCTTTGAGACGACCTAAAAACTTGGTTGTGATAAAGCGGTATATAAGAACCGCTTTGAGACGACCTAAAAACTAAGTAGTGATAAAGCGGTATATAAGAACCGCTTTGAGACGACCTACAAACTTGGTTGTGATAAAGCGGTATATAAGAACCGCTTTGAGACGGCCTTCAAACTAAGTTGTGATAAAGCGGTATATATGAACCGCTTTGAGACAACCTACAAACTTGGTTGGGATAAAGCGGTATATTAGAACCGCTTTGAGACGACCTACAAACTTGGTTGTGATAAAGCGGTATATAAGAACCGCTTTGAGACGACCTACAAACTTGGTTATGATAAAGCGGTATATAAGAACCGCTTTGAGACGGCCTTCAAACTAAGTTGTGATAAAGCGGTATATAAGAACCGCTTTGAGATGACCTACAAACTTGGTTGTGATAAAGCGGTATATAAGAACCGCTTTGAGACGGCCTACAAACTTGGTTGTGATAAAGCGGTATATAAGAACCGCTTTGAGACGACCTACAAACTTGGTTGTGATAAAGAAGTATATAAGAACCGCTTTGAGACGGCCTACAAACTAAGTTGTGATAAAG